TGTCATAGCAACACACTGGGGGGATGGGAGGGGGGGTAGAAGAGAGCTGCTGCTGGGGCCCGAGGGGCGCAAGGGCAAGAGGCCTAGCCGGGGCATGAGAGAAGGCCGGGGGAAGGAGCCAGGCGCTAACCGTACTTCAGCAATAAGGGCTCCTGGACGGACACGAGCCCGTCATGCTCGGAGAGGGTGTCCGCGCCGCGTGATCCGGCGGCGGCCCCTTCGTGTCCTCCAGGACGCCGACGATGATGACGGCATGCTATGCTCCATGCAAGAGCACAGGCAAAGAGCCGCGCACGCGCGCCTATGGGCTATGGGCCGGCCGGGTGGTGGGTTCAGCAGCCCAAGCAGCCGTCGTCGCGCCTTCCCGTACTTCCGCCGGAAGTCTCCCCGCACCCCTCCCCGTTGAGCACGCCCGCCCGCACGTGTGGACACGGTGTGTGTGTGCGCGCGCGCGCGCGCGCGCGTGTATGTGTGTGTGTGTGTGTGTGTGTGTGTGTGTGTGTGTGTGTGTGTGTGTGTGAGCACAAGACACGCACGTGCGCTCATTCACGACTCAACAACAACGCGGTCCTGAACCTGGCTCCCGCGCCGTGGCCGCCGCGGGAGCCCGTGACACGCGAGGTGTGCTGTGCGCCGCCGAGGAGCCCGAAGGCCGGCGCCACCGTCCCGTCGAGCGCTCCATCCTCCTCGATCCTCCTCCTCCTCGCCTCCACCAAAGATCGAGCCAAAAGACTATATCTGGACCACTTTCCTCCCCCCCCCCCCTCTGCTGCGGGCAGCGCAGCGGGCAGCGCAGCGGGCAGAGTCGTCGTCTCTCTCGGGAGATCCTTTTTCTCCTCATTTGAAATGCAGGGCTGCATCTCCACGTCAGACAGGGAGGACGCCCACCACCGCCCCCGCAGCCCGAGCCGAACCCGCAGGGAGCTGAGGTGAGCCGAGGCAGCCCGGGCAGCCCCTCCAGGTAAAGGTAAGGAGATAAAGGCCCACATGATGCATTCACTTCACATTCGGAGACGGCGGTGGTGGTGCCCCAAGAGGTCAGCCCGACTCTGGCCGCCGACGTCCGCGCCGTCTAGGGTTGGAAGCCCAGGAAAGTTTCCGGAAAATTTCTTGAAAATTTCTGGAAAAGACCATGACCCTTCTCTCATGAAAAGACGGAAAATTTCCGGGAAAAAAATCCCCCGACTTTTAAAAAGTTTTCCGTTATTTTTCGTATATTTTCGGAAAGTTTTCGGTAATTTTCCGGAAAATTTGGGAAATTTGAACTCTAGCGCCGTCGCCGTCCAGTACACACAGTACATAGTGCATGTCAGCAGCGGACCGACGGGACCCTAGCCCTAGACCCTCCCCCAGGTCACCGCCTTGTCAGCGCAGCAGAAATAATCACCTAGCGAGCAGAACGACCAACAGCTCCCCCCCCCCC